CACTCTGTATACAGTACATAAAATATTTGAATAACATTTACTTATTCAGAAAGTTCGTTTAATTTCACACAGTTTTACTGAAAATCGATTTTTATTATTATTAATTAATATTTTAATTATTTCTCGATATTACTATACAGGGTGGTTTTTAAATAAGTGCAAGTATTTTAACTGGTTAAAGTTATACCTGGGACTAAAGAAACACACTCATGAGAGAATTAAAAAAAAAAAATTGTTGAAAATTGTATATTTTTCCGAAAATCCAAAAAATTAACAAATTCATTCTCCTGAATTTTCTTGATGGTGTATAGAAGTCTTACAATGTTGCCACCTCATACGTTACACGCGTTCTTCCATATTTGTGTGTTTATATGTGTTTACAGTAATTTTAATTTCCTACACAGTAACATATTATTAATAACTGTATTAAAACGCCCTATACTTATTTTTTAACACACACTAATAAGCATTTACAGTTATTTTTGACTTAACTGAAAGAATATGTAGATTCTATGATATATTTTCTTTTTGGCATAACAACAGGTTAACATGCCTTAAATTTTTAAAGTTAACTCGGTTATTTTCAATTTATTTTAAAAACGATCTTACAGTCCGTTAAAAAAGTCTTGCACTTTCGAGACCCCGTATAATTATTAATTAAATCATATTTTACTCATTTTCAACAAATAGGCCACTACATTTTTGAGCCAATTTTTATTTTTAGATCCTCCCTGTATACCTAGGAGATATTTAACATTAACTAGTTGGCAAAGACACAGATATTTCAATAAACCTAAAAAAATATATTTGATAAACGTAGTCATCATCATAAGTGATTTTTTTTTACTTTGATTTAATTTACACGAAATATTTGATCAAACTACTTTAACAAATAAATTGTATGCCCTAATTATGCCCTATAACACTTAATTACTCCTATTTTTTAAATTATACCGCCGGTTTATTTATCATACCGCCGGTTTATTTTATTATACCGCCGGTTTATTCATTATACCGCCGGTTTAAAATGTACCGCCCGCATCAACCAATTTTTTGTAACTTGAAAAATAAACCGCCCGCACCAACGCCTTTTTTTCGCTCTGACCAGCAATGGCTACCGTTACTGAAACGGAACCCGACGTGGACGGCGGCGATCTCGACCGCAAGGTGTCCGTCGTGGACATCTCCGACGACCTGCAGGACTTCATCAAGCGGGTGGCGGCCGAGATCGACGAGAACCCGACCAGTAGCTACACCACTCCCCATATACCCCTGCCGAAAATAAACGTCGGCGAACCCGTTTACGTCAAGGCCATCAAGTACTGGAAGCGCAAAGTCTTCAAGTCCAAAATAGTACTGATCCGAAAAAATCACCAAGCCTATTGAAAAAGGCTCTACATTCGCCGTTGTTTTTCAGCTTCAGCCTACTGAGGTGTTTGTTGAGGAGACAGTGTCCTGTTAGAAACCCCGTGAAAATCCGAAGGTTGTTTTTACTTAAATCAAAGAAAACCTTTGATTTTTCTCGGTCGTAAGTTCTGAAGAACTTTTTCTGAGTGTCTTAGACCGTTGGAGGACACCCCATGCTCTTCTGTCTTATCCACTCTACCTTTTTGTAGAACCCTTTTGTTATTTCAGGCATACGTCCTTATACATTTGTACTACTAAAATTTCCCTTGTTTGACTAAAAAAAGTCTGGAATATCTCTATGGAATATCAGGCGATTTTTTAATATAATCTTGCACTCCGTTAAAAAAGTCTTGCACTTACTTCAGAGACCCTGTATAATTATTAATTAAATCATATTTTACTCATTTTCAACAAATAGGCCACTACATTTTTGAGCCAATTTTTATTTTTAGATCCTCCCTGTATACCTTTTTTTTTTATTTTACCTTTGTTAAAATCATTCCATCAACACCATTCTTTTATTAACAGATCATCCACACTTATTTTCATCCAAGATTTTCGGCCATTCTAAAATATTGCTCAGACTTATCAAGCCAAACTCTTTAATATCTTCCTGAATTAGTCGATTGCTGCTAAAAATATTGCGATTTCTTTCAGAAACAGGACAATATGCGATAGTAGGGTTCGGAGGTACTTGAAATTGGTGATAGATAGATTATGTGTCGGTTGTACCAAATTGTGAACTGTCTTTTTGCTAGTACCCTTCGTCCGAGTTGTGTTTAGTCTTATTTATGTTTTTTGTGCTTTTTTATATAATAAATTCTGTATTGGGTCAAGGTGACAAAAAAAATATAAAAACAAATAAAACAAATGTAGACATAGCACTATACCTAGTTAAGTACTTGAAATATATACTTTTCTCGAATACTTACCTTATTATCCAAGATATACTGGGTCTTATTAAATTGATTAATGAGAAAATAGTTGGGAACGAGATAAAATATAATGCTAGTTCAAACAATCTTTTCCAAACGGATGTTGTAATTTTACTTGAAAATCTGGAACACATCCAAATTCGATATGTTTTTAAAATTGTGTCAGTCAAAGATATCTATTTTCATCTCTTACGTACAAGATCGAGGTATAATAGCAATTCTATTTTAAAACTTTATTATTATATTGCTTTCAAACGATTCTGTATTATAAAATAAAGAAAATTAAAGAATTACAAAAGATAGAAGCACCTTGCCCCAATACAAAATTTAATAACTATGTATGTAGTTCTATGTAGTTCCACGTATGGCTTAATACAAATTAAAATGTCTGTGACGTCTACGTTTTTAACTTATTTATTCTTAATAACTATTTTGTAAAAAAATAAAAACATAAACTCAATAATGATTTTGGTCACTTTAAAATTATTTAATATGTATTAAAATTATCTATATGTTTTCCTTTATAATTAGAAGTGACTTTAATCATTTTGAATTACACAATTGTAAGAAATAAAAACAAAATCTGATTTATTTGTTATCTTTTTCAGGCAGATCTCAGTGCTAGAGACGTTGAAAGTAAGTAGTATTTAATTTTCTATTTCAATTCATTCATTTTTCTATTTCATTCTTGTCTCTATGTTGTATTTTCCAGTCATATCATTTTCAAAGTCAACATTTCATATATATATATATATATAGAGTTATATATATATATATATATATATATATATATATATATATATATATATATATATATATATATATATATAGATCTATGGCAAGAGCTTATCATTGATTAATACAAGAACAACATATTTGCCAGGCCATCGATGACGTAGAATGTGTTCTGTAGATTCTTCTGACTGATAGAATCTGCACATTTCTGTCAATCAGCTTTGCATATGGAGCTTGCAATGCCCTGTTAGTAGACCTACTAGAGTTTACACAGTTTTCTTGTCTTTGCCCAGAGCTTCAAGCTCTTAGGCAGTTAAAGCTGATAAAAACAATGTACAGATTCAATGTCAATCTGAAGAAGAAATGAGAGAACGCATTTTATGTCAGTGTAAGATACTAAAGAGTCATATGGAAGGTTCAGTCTCTAGTTGATAGACTTTTTAAAAAAGATAGGACTGGGGAATGTAACCTAGAGATCAGAAGATAACACAACAGAACTGAGAATTTGATCTCAAAGTTTTGATCTAATTTTGTCTTTGCTTATCAAACCCACAGCAAATTTTGGCGTGGGTTATACTATGAACTGTTTTGCCTCTTTCCTGAAGAATGGTGTCCACACCATTTTAGAGATTTGTTGGATAGCCACTTTTTGTGACCATTTTTGTACTTAGTGTTTATGCAACTAATAGTTGCATAACCAAACCAAACCCGTAGTATCTCAAAAACTTTGTTTCGAGACAATATGCAAAAACTGTTTTAGCAAATGTTTAAAGCGTTATTTTACAAAAAAAAAGTGTCCATTGGTGGAATCATTGTTTTTATGTTTTGTGTCTCGTTTTTCTAGAAATAACAATTAATATTTACTTCCTAAAGAGAAAAAACACAAAAATAATTCGGATAAGGTGGTTTTTTTGCAGTGTGATGCATATTGCTACAGCAAGATATTTGCATCCTAACTTGATTTTTTAGATATGCTATTTTATTAAAATTATGTAAGGATTTGAAATGGATAAGACGACATTAGTAATATTATACTTATGAAAACATGCGGGATTTGCAAGAATAATGAAAATAAAAAGCAAATATAAGTGGTGAGACGGATTTTGCTGCAGTAACGTAATTTTTAGTGAATTTTATACAGGAATAGGCGACTTTTGCTGCAGTTTGGGGCTATGTTTCTGTAAGTTTTAGGGTCCACTATTAATATATGTCTTTTTTTAATATTATGTGTCACTTTCATTATATGTCTTTTTTTAAATGGATAGGGGGGTTTTGCAATTTGGCGCCTCATATAAAGTATTTTTTGATTACAGTATAACAATGTCGGAATTCATTTTTCTAAAACTGGGTACTATACACCTTAATAATATACCTATCAATTAATCATAGAATAAAAGAATACCGGGTGACTCTCAAAAATGGCTCACCCCCTATAACTTTTTTATTTTTTCAAATAAAAAAACGATATTTGGTATGTTAGTATATGACATAAATTAGGATTAATTATCGTATTCAATTGTTTTTAGCCACTTCCTGTTTCACCGGAAATGACTACAACTTTTGATTTTTAAATGACACCCTCGATATTTTGTTACTTTATTCGATAGAAAATAACACTCTGAATAGAATGACATATCATATGTCAACTTTTGATATTTTTGCAAATGGTTTATTTGAAATCGTAACATGCGGTTCATAACGACAATTTGATTCGAAATACCAACTGTATAGTACCTAATTATTCGCAAAACAATACTTTTTCCAAATATGCTAATGAGCCACCCTTCTTCTATTTAAAAAAAAATGAAATACGACTAAAAATACTATTTGGGGATTTTTAACTAGCAAGGACAAGGCATTAGACGATCAAATCTATTTTTCGAAGGCTCCTTGATTAAAAATTACTGTTTTCAACACAGTCACGGCATTCTAAATTGAAATTTAAAATACGTTTTTGTTTTAAGCGAAAATGTCAAAAGTTGACATACCTATTATGATATATCATTCTATTCAGTGTCACTTTCTATCGAATAAGTGACCAAAAACAATAGAATACGTCAATCAATCCTAATTTATGTCATATACTAACATACCAAATCTCGTTTTTTTATCTAAAAAAATAACAAAGTTATAGGGATGAGCCACCTTGGAGACTGGAGACGCACCCGGTATACAATTAAAATTTAGGAAAACAACATGGAAAACTAAATAAGCAGGATATAGTGTATTTACGTTTTCTTATTTGAAATAATACGCGCACTTTGGAATGTTTGGGATTTGGGCCGGTGCCGAATATTTTCGTGTTTCTCCCGAACGCGATCTAAAATTATATCGGCCGGATCATATAAGGTTAGGATGGGCGGCCGATTTGAATCCGGAGAGGCGGCACGGCCAAAAATAGAGCTCGCCAGGCGGCCCGCTATAAGGTGTTTTGTTTGCCTTCGTCACACACTAACCCAGATTGTTCGATTTCAATAATGATTTTTTGGGAAGTTTTTCGATAAAAAACAACGATAGATCTTTCAGACAAAGCAATTTCTGCAACGGATATACAGTTCAGACCAAATCAACTTTTAGTCACGTGATTAAACTTGACCGGCACAGTGTTTATATATTTTCTTTTAATCAAAATATTTTAAGCAACAAAAATAAATTAATTATAAATATATAAACAGTTATTATTTACATCAACAAAACTCACGTCCTTAACAGCACTTAACGGACATAAAAATAAATAGTTCAAAATATTCTAATAAAGTTGCGATTAATTTTTTACGGCTATTAAGCTATCTTGTACACTTCGCACTAAAAGAGTTTCTAAAAAGAACAATGTTCGACTGCAAGGTCTGCTAGTGAACATTTTTAAGCTTAAATATCACAACACTATTTATTTAAACCAAAAACTCGTAGTTCAGAGCTAAAGTGTAAATAAATGCGGCAACTTGACATTTTTACAGCAGAGCTACCACCTGATGAATACCCAGGCATTTTCACATAAATAAAAAAAATTCATCAAATTTATCAAAAATATTTATAGCTAACCAAGCTAAACCCATCAATATTTATCTCTTCCTTTGAGCCAGAATCAGTATAGCAATCTTTTATGAGTAAGATTACTAAAAACAACTATCATTTACTCTATGGCCCAACTATTCAAAGTATATCGCGCTTATGTTAACCGTTTCTCCAAGTAATAGAGGCAATTTGAAAAAAAATCAAATGATACAAAACGCTCCTGGGACGACCAAAATTTTGTTTTAATAATACTTAATGTCACTTTTTTCCAAAGCTTACCATGAATTCAGTGCTACTATGAGTCACCGTTTGTCGTTCATTGTCATTGGCAATAAAATAAAATATTTTATTAGAATGGTCATAAATGGGCGCTTCTAATACCGTGTTTTAAAAATAAGTTAGTTAAAGGCATATATTTTTGCAGTTAAGTTTTGTTAGTTAAAGGCATATCTTCGGTTTGAAAAAAGTTATCAAGATGTGTTTTTGGTTGGATTTTTATCCACTTATTCCTCTTTGTTATAAGCTAAAGTTAAACATGCTGTTGTATTTACAATTTTGGGAAAATCGCACAATATTTGGTAAATTGTAATACAGATCCCCCTAACTTCTACTGTCAAATGCATATTTTTATTCTTTAAAAGGTAGAATCAACGGTAGAATATAGAGCAGTGATTACCCAGTCCGGAGTTATTAACATTTAAACGAAAACAGATCTAACCAACCAATTTATTTTAGCAGATAGGGCAAATTGATTCAAACACAAATAACGTAAATTTGCTAAATATTATGATGCCAATATTTATAATACCTTTTACCTGGGTAAAATTTTGTAAAAATACCATCTTCTTATTAGACGTAGCAGTTACGCCCTCTACCAATCGTCCTGGGAGCTTGAAAATAATTTCCAGCAATCTCTCAGTGCCTCTTTGGTAATAATCTTTTTTCCGCAGACCCTAAGGCTAATACTTCTAGCGAGACACGTGTTACATTCCAGTCATTTACATTTTTTTATTACTAGGGGCCAACTTCGTCTTTTCCATCTACGACTTCGAAGGAAATGGTACCGTCGACGCTGTCAACCTAGGAGACATGCTCCGCGCCCTCAACCTCAACCCCACATTGGCCACAGTCGAGAAACTAGGAGGAACCAAAAAGAAGAGTGAGTAACTTTA